CATCAGTATAAGCTTTGCCTTATATACTTGTGATGTAACTTCTTCCAATATGGATATATTATTTTACATCACAATATACCGATTTCTTTCAGGATTTGTTTAATTCTGGGATATTATACAGATTCTCTCTCTCTCTCTCTCTCTCTCTCTCCTCTCTCTCTCTCTCTCTCTCTCTCTCTCTCTCTCTCTCTCTCTCTCTCTCTAAGCGATTTGTTCAAATCTTCAGGTTTATACTCTTCCACTTAGTGCTTCACTTTATGATCAGAATATAAAGCTTAGAATATGGTGAAAAAAAGAATTAGATTTAGATGATTTTAGAAAATGTACATAATATATATGTAAACTATATTTTGTCTTCTGTTTGAAATGATAACCCTGTATACCAGAAGATTAGCGATAGAAAATAAAAGATAACGTGAAGTATTTTAATGAATCTGTAGTTTACAAGGGTTGATATATATGTGAAAATTTTAAAATAAGGATGATAATGATATTTCACAAAAAAAAACAAATTTAAATAAATATACGTATTTACCAGTCATTTATACTGGAATTACTGTAATATTCGCTATATATGATTTCAAGATCATATTCTAAGAAATAATAGAAAAGGATATAGCATTTTTGGTAAATTAGGGAATGGGTGTAAAGAAAGAAAATGAAAAAAATAGACCTACAACCTCAAACACGAGGAAAACAAGCATCCAAAGAAGATACCTTTCTTTAGAGAGTCAATTTCGATATTCTTATAGTAATAATAATAATAATAATAATAATAATAATAATAATAATAATAATGATAATAATAATAATAATAATAATAATAACAAATGGAAAGGAGGGTACAACCGCAAAATATGTTAGTAGCCTCTTAAAAAAAAACAGAAATATACTTTTAATTCCAGTATAAATGACATGTTTAACATAATTTATAGCAGCCAGAAAATTAGCATGAAAGGAAGGATGAGGAAAAACGTAAAAATAACGTATATATAGTCATGCGGGAATACAAAGATGGCGATTTTCACATCCGGGGAAAAAGATACATGATATGATACGAGACAAGAAGCAGTTGAGAAGTAACCACAAAGTGCGGTATATCGCATACCCTGCAGCAGTTGCGATAAGGTTTACTTTAGTGAAACGGGACAAGGCTTCAACACCAGGATCAACGAACATCGAGCCGACGTCCGTCACCACAGGATTTCCAATGCAATGGTAGTTCATGTAGATGAAGCTGGACATCTACCGAACTTGAAGGAAGCTGAAATAATTCATGGAGATTGAACATACAAAAGGAAGGTCATGGAAGCTGCATACATCGCGACAAAGAAGAATATGAACACCGTATCTGGCAGATTTAAAGTATACAAGGTCAGTTGATTTATCAGCTCCCAGGTAATATACATGCTATGTGTTTGCTCTTATGAAAATGAAACTAGCCATAATGTAAATTGAAAATAAGCGTGACGCTTCGAACTCTTCACGAATTCCTCTTCAGAGAAAAACCGAAATGGATCAATTTCGTTTTTTTTTTTTTTCTGAAGAGGAACTCGTGAAAGTTCGAAGCGTCACGATTATTTTCAATTCTCTTTGTGGCTAGTTACCTTTTTTTCGTACACGTTATGGTGTTTGTGCTTGTGTTTTATTTGCTCTTGTGTATGTAATATCTGACGAAGATATAATCGAAACCGAAATCTTGTATTGTGAAGATATTCAATCTCATTCATATCTTTCTACATTTGTCAACATGAATACGGTTCATATATAGGCATATAGAGATATATAAACTAGACACACACATATATATAATCTATATATATGTATATATGAATAAATATATATATGTAATATATATGTATATATATATATACATATATATTATATATACATAAATATGCATATATATATGTGTGTGTATATATGTGTGTATGTATGTAAATATACCTATACACATATATGTATACATACATACACACATGTATATACAGACATATATAGTAAATGCACATGTGCGTGTGTATGAGTTTACGTATAGATGCCTTCCGGTGTTTTTGTGCATGAGACCAAAAGTGTAGAATAAATACGTTCCATCTACCAGGACGAAAGGCTGATACCAAAGCCTTTTCCATTAGGCATTACAAGGACCTTTGAGAAAGAGAAAGGCATATATAACATACAATTTATGCATAAACAGATCAAGGACTAAACTACATCAATAGATATATACATTCATAAGATCAGTATCAACAGATCGACAACCGTGAACTATCAAGTCGATGTTTAAGGGCTTCAATCACGAGGAGCACCGTAAGAGCGTGAAATATCTCCGCGGGCGTTGCGGGCGTCTTCCTCTTTGGCGAACTCGATCTGCCTGAGGACGAAGTCGGGGATCGGGTGGGGGAACTCGGGGGCCACAGGGAGGTGGTCACCCTGTGGCTGGAAGCCGTTCTCGTCAGCCACGTATTGGAGGTGGATGTCAGTTCCGTCAGGAGCGGTGTACCTGTTACGGACAAGGACATTAGTATCAGTATGTATTCGAAGAGTTAGGCAATAGTTTTAAGGCGTAACTAGTATATTATGAATTTTTATACTTTTTAAAAATATTCTAACATTCTAATCCTACAAGCTATTCGCCGATAATGACCTTATCTGATACATTTAAATCATTATCGAATGTAGGAGTCATATTACTACGAAAATCCTGAAATTTTAAAAGTATAATAACCCAAAAGTCCAAACCATCTAAGGTTACGTACGAGAAGGATCCAGCACTGTTGATGCCTCCATCTTTTCCAGGAGAGCCAGACTCGGAAAAAGGCGATGCCGTTGGCAGTCTCCATGTCGAAGTTGTACCTTCCGTCGTCCTCGATCACGCGGTCGTCCCTCAGGATGGCGATCTCGTCGGAGTCATCCCGAGCTGGGGGCGCGTACAGCCGGTCGGCACAGGCCACGGCGACGAGGAGGGCGAGCACTGCCTGTAACACATAATGGATGAAGATTTTCCAATTGTGGGCTGAATACCTTTTGAATTAAAAGGCCAATTATGGAAAATGTGACTTACAATCTTCATGTTGAACGAACTGTATGTCACTGATTCTTGTATTAGAATGCTCTATTTATATTGTAAGGAGGCTCCAAGTTGCCAGTTGTCATCATCAGTATACAACTTGCCTTATATACTTGTGATGTAACTTAATCCAAATATGGATATATCATTTTACATGACAATATACCGATTTCTTTTGGGATTTCTTTAATTCTGGAATTTTATACGGATTCTCTCTCTCTCTCTCTCTCTCTCTCTCTCTCTCTCTCTCTCTCTCTCTCTCTCTCTCTCTCTCTCTCTCTCTTCTCTCTCTCTCTCTCTCTCTCTCTCTCTTTCTCTTTCTCTCTCTAAGCGATTTGTTCTAATCTTTTAGGTTTATACTCTTCCACTTAGTGCTTCACATCGAATATATAGCTCAGAATTTGGTGGAAAAACAATTAGATTTAGATGATTTTAGAAAATGTACATATATATATGTAAACTATATTTCTGCCTTCCTGTTTGAAATGATAGCCCTATATACCAGAAGATTAGCGATAGAAAATAAAGATAACGTGAAGTATTCTAATGACTCTGTTGTTTACAAGGGTTGATAAATATGTGATTTTTTTTTTTTTTTTTAATAACGATGATAATGATAATAAGATACATAAGACAAAGACATAATAAAAAATATTTCATAAAATGTCTTCAACGATAACTGAAATGAACTATTCTGAGATAACTAATACAAAGACAGTATAGTATAGTATACTATACTATATATATATATATATATATATATATATATATATATATATATATATATATATATAGTATACAGTATAGTATACTGATTAGCCGTCGATATTGTCTTGCGGAATCCAAAAAAAGTGATCCGAGAAAACATAAACGTAAATTTATAGCAGTGGTTCCCAAAACTTTTCCAGGTTGACACCACATTAACTTCCATGTGGATTGCTAGCGCCCCCACCCCTCCCCTTATACGCACATACACAATATTAAACATAAGTATTTATTTCACAAATAAAAACAAATTTAATAAACATACGTATTTACCAGTTATGTGAAATGAAACACTTATTAACTGTTAATGCCATCCTGTCACCCCCCCCCCCCCATGATCTTTCCACTGCTTACTTTGGGAACCAATGATCTAGAGGTTCTGGAGCTTTAACAAGTCTCCAAAACATTCGAAATAGAAAGGATGAATGAGAGAAAATTCTTGATGGTGTTAAAGAGTTGCTCATTTTAAGGAGCGACTGGAAAAGGGTACGCCTCTGAGCTGAGAGAAATCTATTACATCATTATGTTATAAACTATTTATAAGGGCAAGTATTAAGTGCTTTAGGAAGCATGTCACTTCGGCCAAAAAGTTTGATATTCGCTATATATGATTTCAAGATCACATTCTAAGAAATAAAAGAAAAGGATGTAGCATTTTCATAAATTAGGGAATGGGTGTAAAGAAAAGAGAAAGAAGAAGTAGAAAAAAATAGACCTACAACCTCAAACACGAGGAAAACAAGTATCCAAAGAAAATACCTTTCTTAAGAGATTCAATTTCAATATTCCTATAATAATAATAATAATAATAATAATAATAAATAATAATAAGTGGACAGAGAGGTACGACCGCAAAAAAAAATGTTAGTAGACTCTTAAAAAAACAGAAATGCACTTGTAATTCCAGTATAAATGACATGTTTACCATGATTTATAGCAGCCAGAAAATTAGCATGAAAGGAAGGATAAGGCCCAGCGTAAAATTACGTTATATATAGTTATGCGGGAATACAAAGATGGCGATTTTCACATCCGGGGAAAAGATACATGATATGATACGAGACAAGAAGCAGTTGAGAAGTAACCACAACAGTGCGGAATATCGTATACCCTGCAGCAGTTGTGATAAGGCCTACTTTAGTGAAACAGGACATGGCTTCAACACCAGGATCAACGAACATCGAGCCGACGTCCGTCACCACCACAGGACTTCCAATGCCATGGTGGTTCATGTAGATGAAGCTGGACATCTACCGAACTGGAAGGAAGCTGAAATAATTCATGAAGGATTGAACAAACATAAAAGGAAGGTCATGGAAGCTGCATACATCGCGACAAAGAAGAATATGAACACCGTATCTGGCAGATTTAAAGTATCCAAAGTCAGTTGATTTATCAGCTCCCAGGTAATATATATGTGCTATGTATTTGCTCTTATGAAATGAAACTAGCCACAATGTGAATTGAAAATAAGCGTGACGTTTCGAACTCTTCACGAATTCCTCTTCAAAGAGAACCCGAAATGGATCAATTTCGGTTTTTGTCTGAAGAGGAACTTGTGAAGAGTTAGAAACATCACGCGTATTTTCGATTTTCTTTGTGGCTATTTTTTTTTTTTTTTTTTTTGTACACGTTATTGTGTTTGTGCTTGTGTTCATTTGCTCTTTTGTATATATATCTGACGAAGATATAATCGAAACCTGTCAAATACATCTTTTTGTATTATGGATAACTTTTCTACATTTGTCAACATGAATACGGTTCATATATATGCATATAAAGATAAACAGACACACACAAACACATATATAATTTATATATATATATATATATATATATATATAAATATATTATTATATGTGTGTGTGTTGTGTGTGTGTGTGTGTGTGTGTGTGTGTGTGTGTGTGTGTGTGTAGAATATATATAAGTAATGTATATACATATATATCTATATATACATGAATATATACATATATGTGTGTATGTATGTATATATACATATGCACATACATGTATACATACATACATACATATACATGTATAACAGACATATAGTAAATACACATGTGCGTGTGTATATGAGTTAGGTATTGCCTTCCGGTGTTTGTGCATGAGACCAAAAGTGTAGAATAAATACGTTCCATCTACCAGGACGAAAGGCTGATACCAAAGCCTTTTCCATTAGGCATTACAAGGACCTTTGAGAAAGAGAAAGGCATATATAACATACAATTTATGCATAAACAGATCAAGGACTAAACTACATCAATAGATATATACATTCATAAGATCAGTATCAACAGATCGACAATCGTGAACTATCAAGTTGATGTTTAAGGGCTTCAATCACGAGGAGCACCGTAAGAGCGTGAAATATCTCCGCGGGGCGTTGCGGGCGTCTTCCTCTCGCGAACTCGATCTGCCTGAGGACGAAGTCGGGGATCGGGTGGGGAACTCGGGGGCCACAGGGAGGTGGTCACCCTGTGGCTGGAAGCCGTTCTCGTCAGCCACGTATTGGAGGTGGACGTCAGTTCCGTCAGGAGCGGTGTACCTGTCACGGACAAGGACATTAGTATACAGTATGTATTCGAAGTTAGGCAATAGTTTTTAAGGCGTAACTAGTATATTATGAATTTTTTATACTTTTTAAATATTCTAACATTCTAATCCTACAAGCTATTCGCCGATAATGACCTTATCTGATACATTTAAATCATTATCGAATGTAGGAGTCATATTACTGAAAATCCTGAAATGTTTAAAAGTGTAATAACCCAAAAGTCCAAACCATCTAAGGTTACGTACGAGAAGGATCCGGCACTGTTGATGCCTCCATCTTTTCCAGGAGAGCCAGACTCGGAAAAGACGATGCCGTTGGCAGTCTCCATGTCGAAGTTGTACCTTCCGTCGTCCTCGATCACGCGGTCGTCCCTCAGGATGGCGACCTCGTCGGAGTCATCCCGAGCTGGGGGCGCGTACAGCCGGTCGGCACAGGCCACGGCGACGAGGAGGGCGAGCACTGCCTGTAACACATGATGAATGAAGATTTTCCAATTGGGGCCTGAATACCTTTTGAATTAAAAGGCCAATTATGGAAAATGTGACTTACAATCTTCATGTTGAACGAACTGTATGTCACTGATGCTTGTATTAGAATGCTCTATTTATATTGTAAGGAGGATCCAAGTTGCCAGTTGTCATCATCAGTATACAACTTGCCTTATATACTTGTGATGTAACTTAATCCAAAAATGGATATAGCTTCTTACATGAAAATATACCGATTTCTTTTGGGATTTGTTTAATTCTGGAATTTTAGACAGATCCTCTCTCTCTCTCTCTCTCTCTCTCTCTCTCTCTCTCTCTCTCTCTCTCTCTCTCTCTCTCTCTCTCTCTCTCTCTCTCTCTCTCTCTCTCTCTCTCTGGATTTGCACTAATCTTTTAGGTTTATATTCTTTCACTTAGTGCTTCACTTCATGATTAGAATGTATAGCCTAATATGAGGCGAAGAATACATTAGATTTTAGATATTAGTAATTGTACATATATATTCTTAAACTATATGTCTATTTTGCCTGTTTGAAATGATGGCCATAATTACTAGCAATTAAGTGATCGAATAAGCTAAAGTTCTAGTTGTAAATTGCTCAAGCGTTGAGGAAAGT